TTCAAGAGCGCCTTGGCAGCGGAAGCCTCGAGGTCTGAGACGAGCCCGTCCGGTCCAAGCTCGAGCGCCTTCAGGTTGACGCCGTGCTCGATCATTTTCTGTCGCACCGCGCCTTCTGGGATGTTCATCTTGAGCATTTTGAAGTACTTGCCGTACGTTGCATCATCCCGCAATCGCGGGGGGACATCGCTTGCCGTCGGTGGCTCGGACGCCGCCGCCGCAGGTTTCGGAGCATCCGCAGTCTCTTTCGACGGTGCCGGTGGTGCGACCACCGCAGTCGGTGCGTCCACTGTCGCGGCCGGCGATACCATGGTCGTTGTCGTCGTCGATGCCGCTGCAGTTGTCGATGGCTCGGTCGGTGCAATCGCCTTGTCGGGGACAATGAACGTCGCGGGGGCCGACTTTGGCGGGGACTTGGCTGCCGACGGTTTGGGCGGTGACCCGCTCGGATAAATAACTTCGGCTTGAAGCGCTTCGATTTGACCCTTGACGGCGAGGTACGAGGCCTTGGGGTCGAGGTCGAGGATCTTGGGGTTCAAGCCGCACATGCGCATCTTGTGCTTGACCGCGTCTTTCGAGATGCCTTTCGATAGCATCGTGAAGTAGCCTTCAAACTGGATCGCATCGCGCAGCATGAGCACGGGCTCGGCCACTACGGCGGTGGGTGCGATGACCGGCGGCGCCGCGTACCCGCGGAGCAGCGCCGGGTCGAGTCCGTCGCGCACCATGCCGTTCTGTGCAGCGGCGAGGGGTACACCCATGTCGACCATGCGCTTGTACTTGTCCGTGACGTCCACCGCGTCATTGGTCGACTTGTCGTCGTCTGTGGTTGGTTTGACGAGGTTGGCGTCGGCCGCGCGCAAGAGGTCGTCCATCGAGATGCCTTTGGCCGAGAGAAGTTCTTTGAGTTGTTCGTACTTGTCGTGGTTTGGGCTCTTTGGCTCGGTGACAAATCCCGTCGAGGACGATGACGTCAGTGACGGTGACATTGACGCGGCCGCACAGTTTGTGCAGCGCCAGCCAAGGAAATATTTCTTCATGTAGGCCGCATGGTTAGTCCGGTCGCTCAATGTCGTGAGGCCAAATGGCACCTTTTTCAAGCCTGCGCAGCCCGTGTGATAGCATTTCTGACACCCGCAGCAGCGCACCAACTGGGGTCGGAGCACATAATCTTCTTCGTGGCAGAGCACACACACCGACGAGTCGCCGTCTTGGTCGACGTCGTGGTAGCTCGACGCCGCGCTCGATCGGCGCGACGACGGACTCGGCTCGGTCGCGCGCGGCACCGCAAACCCTTTGGGCGGCGTCACCGCCAGCGTCGTTTCTGCACTCGAGGATGGTATGCGATGCGCTTCCGACGCTTTGCGGGGCGTCGACGATGCTGTGGCAAAGAGCGCCGAGGGTTTGATGCTGTCTTCGTGCACCGGTTGACTGAGGCTCTCGTCGCGCGACGTTGGGCTCGGCGGCAGCCGTGTAAAGATGGTCGTCAGCGCCTCCGAGTGCAAAATATCGAGGGCCAAGTTCGGCGCGTTCTGCGCGCGCTGGAGTGCGTAGGTTGACGCGGTCGCGTCAAAGCCGGTCTTGACAAAGTTGAGGTACATGGACGGATCGGGCGCGATCGCGTGCTTGGCTGCGATCTCGACAATGCCTTGCTTGACCGCGTAGTTGCCGGTGTAGTCGACGGGCACGATGAGCCGCGGCGGTACGTTGCTGTTGTGGAAGACCATGTCGACCGAGAAATTCTCGTCCTCAAAGCCGTGCTCGTACTGCTTCATCATGTCGAGGTTGGCCTTCTTGAGCGTGACGAGGCCCGGCGAGAGGAACCACGTCGAGTCCATGTACCGAAAGAGAACGCGGGATGTCGCGTCCATCTCGGCGTCGCCGTCGTCGCCAAACGAGCACAAGATCGAGAACCCGCCGTCGAGCGGGATGCCGCCGTCCCACAAGATGGCGAGGAAGCCGTCTTCGGGGTTCCAGTCGACGACCGGCGGCATGTGGTCGCTCACGGCGTCCTTGGCGTTGGAGAAGATGAGGTGCCAGTCGTCCCAGATCTGGATGAGCGGCTGGAGCTCGACGGGCAACGCGCGAAACATGATGGCCTTGAGCAAGAGCGGGTCCGGATTCGGAATCGCTTGGTGCTCCATGATCCCGCCAAAGTTGGTGACAAAGCTAATGGAAGAAGACTGCAATAGAGACAAGATACATAGGCATCTCGTACCGCTGGATGGACACGGGCATGCTGCGGCGCACGTAGTCGGGCGTGAGCGTCTCAATGCCAAGACGCTTTTGGTAAAACTGGGCGAGAGCTGTCATCGGGTCGTCGACGAGCCGCGAGAAAAGAAAGTAGCAGGCGACGACGACGCCGCTGCGCGTCTTGCCGTTGTGGCAGTAGATGACGGCGACGTTCTCGGGATCGAGCGCGAGCCACGCAAAGATGGCGTAGCAGATGCGAAAGATGTGGTCCGACGGCGGCGTGTAAGTCCGCAGGCCGCCGTCGCGCTCCCAAGAGAACTCAAGCGTCTGCGGCGAAATCACCGGCGCCTCGTCGTCGCAGAGATTGAAGATCAAGTATCGGTTCGCATGCTCGTCCTCGAGGTAGAGCTTGAGCTCGACTGCGTTGTTGACGCACGCCTTCTTGTCGGTCGGCCCGTCGACCGGCCGCCCGCCCACGAGGACGCGCGGGGTCACGTACGTCAGGTCGAGGTGCTTGTAGCTCGGCTCCATGTGCTTGGACGCCGGCTTGAGGTGCTGGCTGCTGTCCACGACGTAGCTCGCGAGCCGCCGAAGCTGGTTCATGCGTCGTCGATCGTCCGGCTTCGCGGCTTCCTTCTAAATCAATCACGCAGGTCGTTTTCACCTTGATCGTATCCGGAAACCCTGCGAAACGACCGGATTTCATCCGGATACCTGCCGTTTCCGCGCGCGCAATCGAGCTTCGATATTCGAGCGCCACAAAATATTGGCAAAGGAGAGCGCGCTCATGCGCGCCAATATATTCGTATGGATAGGGCCAGCCACCGAGTATGCACGCCGATGCTGAGGGGTTTGCCGAGACGCTCCTCCCACGGAAGCCCTGTGATCAGTTGCTAGCAGCGGCAATAATGTCGCGACCGCGCCTGAGTCGGTGCCTCAACTTCCTACACTATTACGTTGGACTCCAATATTCCAAACACGATTCACGTGCAATATATACTGACATGAAATAGTGTATCAGTGCTGGTGGATATTCGCGCGAGTATTCATTCAACCGTGAGGTCCGGCGCCGAGATGGAGCGACGCCGAAGCATGGGCCAGCGCCAAGGCATGGAAGGAGCATGGGAAGTCTTCTGGGCCGAGAAGGAGCAAGCTCAGGAACTTCCGAGCGGGGACATGTCCATGTTCGTGGGCTCGTCGTCGGGCGAGGAAGCGGCGACGGCCGTCGAGCGGGCGGTCAAGGGCGTCGCCCCGGAGACTGCGCTCCGCGACTTGGAGGCCATCATGGGCACGCCCGAGACGCTCCAGCGCATGTTGACCGTGTACGACGACAGCGATAGCTTCATCCGGATCCTCTTGCGCCTCGATGCGATCCAGACACCTCTCATCGACCTCCTCCTCGAGGTGCTCAGCGAACATGCGCACCAGCTCGAGACGTCCATCATGTCGTCGGCGGTCTGCGGCCTTATCTTGCGTCATATCCGCTGGATCGAGTACATCTCTGCGCCGTCCGAGCTTGTCCAGAAGTTTGTCGGGACGCTACCGACCTTCCCCACGTCGCTCCAGAAGGACATCATCCACATCCTCCCCGAGCTCGTACCCGATACGGACTTTTCGGTACAAGGCTGCCATCATGAGCAACGTGCCAGAAGACGATCCTCTATATGTAGATGGCCGTCGACGCGCTCCTCGAGATCATTAGCAGCGAGTCGACGCTGGTCGTCGCCGCGGTCGAGGCCCTCGGCAACTTCAACATTCCCGCTTACCAGCTTGAGGACGTGGTCACGAGCGTCCTCAATCGGCTCTCGTCGTCGCCGGTCGAGGACCTCCCACCACTGGTGCGCTTCCTCGTCCAAGCCTCGTCGTCCGACAACATGGTCGTGATCCTCAGCCAAATGCGAGAGAAGCTCAGCCAGTGCATCACGTCGTCGCTCCAAGAGACGACTGCGAACGACGAAGCGCTCCTCCTTCAGCAGTTTGTCCAGGGCATGACGTTCCGAACCGACTTTATGAACGCATTCCTCAAGATGGTGACCAGCATCAAGACGGCCGAGCACCATTTCCTCCTCGATATTTGGGGCCTCCTCGGGCTCCATACTCTTCTGCACGTCCGCCCCAAGGTCGAGAGCATTCTAAAAAAAAAGGTAGTCTCCGGGCTCTTCACAAAGGAGCTTCTTCGGGCCGCCATTGCCGGACGCCTCGGGGCGCTCGAGCCGTACTTCAAGAACATCCTGCAGCTTCTCCACGTCTTCTTCACGTCGCCGGACGCACATGCGCGCGACATGGGCAGCTACGTGCTGCAGCTGCTCTTTCACGAGGCCAGTCGCCGGCCACAACACGCCTACACGTACCAATCCGAGGTTTCTTCTCCTCCTCTTCATCCGTGGCTAAAGTGACACATTGGGTTAGATGGTCACGACCGTGCTCGGGTTCTGCGTGACGGCTTCGCCCAAGACGGTCGATTCGGGCTTGGAGACGCTCTTGGCGCTGCTGGACCACGCGCCGGGCTGCCTCACGACGTTCCTTCCGCTCCTCAAACAGCTCCTCGACTATATCGATACGTTCACGGTGGAGCAGTGTCGCTACGTGTACCAGCTGCTCGTGCACGTCGGTGGGACGACCGACGCGGACCTTGCGATTACGATCCGCAAGCAGCTCTACCACCAAGACAACCAGTACCGGAAGCTCGGCATGATTGGGTACATTTGTGTCATCGAAGAAGAGATCATCAACAGCGCTGAAGCAAGCTCGATCGAAAGCACCGAAGACAATAGCTTCGATTCACCGGTGCAGCAGCTTTTCGTGCGCAAACTGCGCGATGGCATGGAGGCGCTGAAGGACGCGTGTCGGAAGCAGCCCAAGTGCCTCGCCTTCATGTACGCGGAGCTCAACCACCTCGTGTGTCGGATTCCGCAAAACACGACTGCGATTCAAGTCATTTCGGATGGCTACTCGGACATTCTCGCGACCCAATTTTTGCCCAATTTCGACGTCTTGCGCCACCGTAACGGCGACTACAAGCTCGCCGTCATGGGCGGTGCGTTCCGGACTGAGCTCTGGGCGATCCTCAACAGTCAGGTACAAGGTTCTCACATGAACCATCTGTTGTTCATGTCCAAAGCTAGTCGCTCGTCTATCTCGACTTGATGAATCTGATTGCGTCCAGCGATACGTCCGACAAGGAGCACTTGGTGTACCTCTGCAACCTCTTGCATCTCGTCGTCTCTTGTTCCAAGCGGCTCGATGGTCTCGAGAGCATTGGCACGGTGCTAGTGTGCCCTATCATGCTCATGGAGTAAGTCAGGATCTGTATCCCTTCATATTGTAATATATTGTAATGCGGTACTGTACTAGGAAGAGCATTCTATCGGACGTCAACGAGCTAAAGGCCCCCGTGCAAGAAGCGATCTGCCTCTGCCTCTGGTACGCCGTCAACTGGTGCCGCGATCTGCTCAACTGCTTTTGCGCCGACGTAACGCTGCGGCCCAAGGTCATGGCGCGCCTTGAGAACGCGGTGCAGTTCGAGTCGATGCTGCTCGAGATCGTGACTAACCTCCCGCCGAATACGTGGACACCACCCGGTGTTGATGTGACGACCATCGCCGACCGCGCAGGCGCGAAGGAAAGCCAAAAGACGCTCGCTGCGACGACCAAGAAGGGCAAAGGAAAGCAGTCGGTGAGTGCGACGGCGTCGCAGGCCAAGCTCAAGCTCGTTCTGCGCTCTCTCGCGCCATTGCACCCCAGCGTCATGAGCATCCTTCCCGATACTCAAGAGGATCAAGGCTGCATTGACCCGCCGTCGCTCGTGTTTCTCCTCTCGCACTTTAAAGAGTTTTTGAAGACGTCAGTCGCCAAGATGCACGCGTCACCGGGGTTCTGGGCCGGCGCCGTGACGAACCGATCCCGCCCGATCCTCGAGCACCAAGCAATCGAGCACGAGCGCGGATTGGAACTCTTCTCGGCGCATTTGCAGCCCAAGCTCGCGGCTGTCAAGAACAACGCGCGCTGGGCGCTGGCGTCCATCGACACTGACGTGGACGCCGATGAGAGTTTGCGGCAGGTCGTCATCATGTACCTCCAGTGCATCGACCTCCTCGGGAGCAGCGACGTGTTCCGCCAGCAGGAAGCCCCGCAAGTCCAAATCGACGTGCTCATGGACCTCATCTTGCCCAAGCCGATGACCGGGAGCAATGCGTTCCAGGTGTGTTGCGTTGGTGATCGTTGGCGTAATACTAACCGTCGCATCCACGTGCATAGGCCATCAAGGCCATGATGGGCGTGCTCTTTGAGCTCCAGCAGTCGAGTGCGATCGAAGACGACTTGGAGGTCGGACTGCACTTTGTACGGGCGCTCGCGACGCTCGAGGCGCTCAAAACGTCTCAAGGCCGTGGTCGACAACCGCAGGGGGTCCTTTTCTCGTCCTCGAAAGGAAACAAGGACGGCGACTACCGCCTCGGCGAGCTCGCCCACGAAATCCTCAAGAAGAATTGGTGGGCCAGCGCCAAGGCCAACTACAAGCCGAGCGATGTCTCGATGGTGCTCCATGCCTTCTTGGACAACTCGGGACAGCCCCTCGATGCGATCCAAGAGCTCGCAATTCACGGGTTTGGCAACCTTCTCGAGCACCCCTCGGCATCCTCCGAGACATACCCCACGCTGAGTACGTTTATATTTGTTGGATTCGTTTCTAATGTTGAGGTTGAAATAGACAAGAAGACGGTTGGCGTGCACCTCCGTGCCTGCTGCGAGACCCTCGTGCGGTCCACGTCACGCTTGGATTTTTCACCGGGCGCCAACGACGTGCCTGTTCTACTGCACTACCTCACGCAAGCCGCGCTCCTCTTCAAATTCCTCGTCGGATTGACCAAGAGCTTCCAATCGGGCCCGGTTCGACACTCTTGCGTGATTTATCGTTGTACTTACAGAGCAAATTAGATTATTGCGACCGTTCTCAAGCACGCAAGTGGCTTTATCGAGAACCTACTCGGAGCGATGCCGTTCTTTGAGGCCCACTTCCGCAGCCACAGTTCGCGCATTCTCAAGATCATGCTTGAAGTCCAAGGCGGCACGCGCAAGCTCCAGATCCTCTGCGCACACGGCAAGTCGACGCTCGATGCATCGGCGGCGGCGCACGTGCCCAAGATGAAGAAGCTCCTCGAGCGCGTTATCTACGGCGGCGAAAAGCTCGCGCGCGAAAACAACGTGATGGACGCGTACACCACCGGCGTCCTCAAGCACCGCAACATTGACGGCTCGTCCATCAAGACGGCCGCAATGCCGACGACCGAGTCGGAGGACAATGACGACAGCGATGCGACACACGAAGAGAGCGCACAAGAGAATCCCGCGCCCGACGACGAGGATGAAGAAGACGAAGACGACGGCGAGTAGGTTGAACCGCCAGTAATGGTTCTGGCCACGGACACACCGCATGAACGAGTTCTCCCAGCCACAAACACTGAAAGCTGTGGGGTTGATACCAAATGACTCGGATCCACGCCTGAACATATGCATGCAATTATGCAATTAGGCGTAGATGTTTTTCTTGGTGCTAAGGCGCTGACTGAGTGTCTTGCGCTTGGCCGACTCGAAGCGGCTCTTGGTCGTGCCTGACGGGTCGTTGTTTCCCGCCTTTTTCGACAGCAAAACGGAGGCCGACCGCAGCGAGAGCTGGCTGAGATTGCGCCACGAGAGGTTCCAGTATGGCAGCGTCGTGAGCTCGGGCTCCAAGATGACGCGAGATGGCGGCCCCGGTCGCGTCGCGAGGAGGCAGCAGTAGACCTTAAAGATACTCGCCTGGAAGATGACGTTGGTGAAGATGCGGGGCAGGTCGTCTTGGCGCACGACGTAAATGCCGTGCAAGACGACCCAGCCCGCGCCCCAGAGGAACTCGTGGTCGATCTGGAACGAGTCAGGTCCCATGTGAATGGGCTGCAGTCGCTTTGTGACAAGCCCCGCGACGGGCAGACCGTCTTCGCTCGGTAAAAAGTGATCGAGAAAGTGCTCTGGGATGCCGGGCAGCGACGCGAGCTCCATGGCGCTGGCCGTATACGTACCCGAGGCTGCAGCTTGGTAGACCTTGACACGCCGCGACCGCTTGTCGCAACAGTGCTCGTGGGCCAACAAGGCTCCTTTCCATGCAAGAAGCACGGCAACGATACCAATGCACGGAGCAAAAAACCACGTAAATTCGCGCAGCATGAACCATTGCTCGGGCGTCGCGGCGTCCAACGCAAAGTACGTCCAGAGGTTCATACCCGTCTCGGAAAAGTCGACGAGGTTGCGCGTGTAGAGCGCAGTCGCGTACGCGAGCACGTCCTTCTCTATGGCATTGGACGTCAGACTCTGGACGACGTCGTTGCTGTAGCCAAAGCAGACCAAGTACAAAGCGACGGGCACGAACGGAGGCAGCGAGAGACCGAGGGCCGTTGCCCAGAGGTCGGTCCACACGATAAAGAGCGTGAGAAAATCCGAGCGAACGTTGGCGCCAAGCACAAACATGGGGAGGAGGTTGTAGCGCACGAACGTTTTTGTGAGCACATACTCTTCGAGCGACCAAAACCGGTCAATCACAAGCGCAAAGACGAGCAGGAACGACCGAATGCGAATGTGACGCTTGATGGTCGTAAACACATCGGGAAACCAAATCGACTTTGTCGCGAGGAAGAAGCGCACCGAAACGACGACCGCAACGAGGATCGTAAAAGCAATGCGAATGCCGAGCGTGAGGATGACCAAGCCTTGCACCCACGCCCACGAGTCTTTCGTGTGCCCAAGTGACACGAAGAGGTCGACGACAAAGTCCCGCACCGGGTTGCCCGACATGGCAATCACATACCGAATGTAGTTGACTTGATCGTTGTCGCTGTTGCGGTAGTAGCCTAGTCCATTCTGTACAAATTGGTGGTCATTCTTGTTGATGTACCCGAGTAGCCGTTGATGATCAGCGATTCGTTGGTGGCTACGACGGTCGCGGCCCACTGGTTGGTCGGCAGCGTTTCCGTGATACGCATTGCATGGAAACGGGTCGCATTCTCATAGGGAAAGTAGAACGAGACGGCAGTTTGGTAGTTAGATGTGCTCGTCGCGTTGAGACCAAAGTAAAAATCACTGGAATCTGTCGTGGACGGGAGCTCGTAAAATGATTTCATGGGCGCAGTCGAGACGATCGCGGGCCCAGCGTGCGTCTGGAGATGCGTCGATGAGCGCTCGGCGACCATGGTTTGCAGCACGATTGAGGATATGTTGACAAGGTTGACATCGACGAGATAGGCCTTGAAGATGGACGTGTCTTGGTACGCTCGACCCGTGTAGTCGCAGTCGATGAGCACGGCGTGGGTTGCCGCATACAAGTTAATCGGGCTCGAGAGACTCTCGAGCAGGCGCTGGAGAAGTGGCAAAAGGTGCGACTCGTTGTAGAGGCGGTCGCTCGGCTGGTATGTCGAGCAGTTGCCTGCAAGCAGGGTGTACTCGGACGCGTTCTCGCGGTCGGGCTCCATGTACATGATATGGTTTCCTGACGCTAGCATCGAGCGAACCTCGTTCATTTGGCGGGTTGGGTCGGCCATGTACATGCGAAGGTAGCGTGGGATCGTTGGTGCATCGTACTGGTACGTGCCGACCTGCGTGTTGTCGACGCCAAAGAGGATCTGGAGCATCGTCATCGATGCTGTCAAGTCGCAGTAGAGCACGACGAGCACGACGGCGAACGAAGCGAGTCCGAGCGCGTACGCGTGCAGCCTT